GCACCTGTGATATCTGGGTGTTCCTGCACAAACTCCCCAGCAGCGGAGGTGCTGCACTCTGGGCCTCTCAACCTCTCCTGTCCCTGGGAACGTCATGTAAGCACTGACAGACACCTGCTCTGTGAACTGAACTCATAGGTCTCCCTCTGCCACACTGTGTGAGGCTGGAAGACAAGTAGTCTCTGCTCAAATACAGCAAGAAGTGTTGGACAAATTGACATGCAGAACCTTACCATCGGGAATCACTCCTGGTCACTGCTATTACTTTGAAATTTCTACCATCTACCTGTTTCAAGGTAGGTAGCTGCTTCTCCTGCCTTTAGTGAGTCAGGTAACAAATCAGCAATCATTTGCACGTTGCAAAACTGTTTTCTAGATCCTGTAAAATACTTGATTGCTTTTCAAGAACTGCAGTCATTCATCCAGGGTTGACTATCTATTACTAACATCAAATTTACACCCTCGTGTGAGGTTTCTGTGCTTTTCCTTCTACACATTAACTTTTTAGTTTCATTATTTTGTTGAAGATAAATTAGATAACAACTAAAACACTGTCAACGATACCCACAGCCCAACTGAAGGGATGACAGCATGAAAAGCTGACTTGGACACTTTCTGGCACGCACACCCCACCAGCAGCCACGCTGCCAGGGACACAGCACGACTCTGCATAATAAGACAGAAGCAGAAAATATAGATCTTAAAATTAACACAGTACGAACTGTGAAGGCATTTCTGAAACATCCAGCCACAAAATGCTACCCTTTCCAGTATTATGAGGGAAAATCGAATAGATTTGTGTTTATGAAGGTACAGTAGTCATGTGATTCTCAGGCCTTCACATCAGATAACTCATTTTCATCTTCCCAACAGACCTGAGAGATGGTATCTTCATCTTTCCAAAGACAGGCAGGCACAGGTTTCAAAACCTAAATCTAAAATTCTCCCGAAGAATCTGCCCACAGCCACCCCACACAAGGCCGACTCCTCTCCTGCTACCCCGCAGTAGCCAAGGGCCCATTCTGGCACTGACCCGACACTAGCATCTGGGGCTCACCTCCCCTTGAGCCTGAGTTCCTCAGCCTTATCCAAGGGAGGCGATCTTTTAAACCTGAAGCTCCTACACCGACAAAACTACAGAGCAAGTGAAAAGGGATACAAAAAAGAATCTGAATAAGATTAAAAATTTAAATATCATTATGTTCAATATTTGCAATATATGCAACCCCTCCTATTCATCCTTGAGAGATGAGTGATCAAGGAGACACAATCCACTTGCTCACAAGACGTCTAATCAATTCCTGAATACCGTCGCTGAAGCTAAGCTTCCAAAGTACATAAAGAAACTTCATGAGTTTTTCCTTGTTAAAACTTCAAATAGAAGCCCATATGTCCATAAACTAACGAATGAATAAGTAAAAACATACATCCATACAATGGAATCTTTGACAATACAAAGAAATACAGCACTAAGTCTGAAAACGTCTGTGCCGTACAGGACACGTCAAGACTGGACAAGTCTATAGGGACAGAAAGCAGAGCGCGGCTGCCTCAGGTCTAGGGGAGAGTAGGAGGAGGAGACTCCTGAGGGACCCGGGGCTTCTCTCTGGGTGATACAACATGTTCTAAAACTGTTGTGACAGCTGGGCAATTCTGCAAATAGGCTGACAATCACTGAATTGTGCACTTAAGAGGTAAATTGTGTGTTGTACAAATCGTATCTTGACACAGCTATTCAAAATTTGCACTTGGTAGCTACTTTCACTGGGTCATGGAGGTGTGGACACATAATATGCACACATACACACAGAATGATCAACTATATAGTGAAACAGCATGTAGGCCTGAATTTTAACAAAATTAATGGTCATCACTACTAAACTGATCTGAAATACTGCTTGACACATAATATGTACTTACTGAATAAGTGAACCCAATGTCTGACCCTGTCATAGAGAACCTAACACCATTATGCTCATTTTGAGTTGTTAATGAAATTGTCATCTGAAACTCTCTCATAAGGGGCCAGGGACTTGGCTCAGCAGCATAAGTGCCTGCTTGGCAAAGGGGAGGTCATGAGTTCAATCCCTGGTACCCAAAACAAAACAAAACAAAACAAAAAAAAAACCCAAAAATCTCTCATAAGGATACTGATAGGTGACCCTTACCAAGAGGAAAGCACAAAGGAGGGCAGAGAAGCCGTCTATATTACTCAGGACCATGGTCAGGAGTCAGGTAAATAATGGTAAAGATCAATTCCCTAACAAAGCGGCAGGCGGTAGCAACAGCACGCTGCTGATGCTAAGGACTTCCCACCTTTCTACACTTGTGTGACAGTGGAGAATTAGAATCAGCAGCCTCTGGGCTAAGCCTGTCAGCCACAGGCGCCCGTATTAAAGGCCTGCTCCCCAGGGTGGCACTGTTGTAAGGTGGCAGAACAGTCAGGAGCTGGCTCCTCACAGAAGGCACTGAGGTGCCTGGAGCACGCCCTGAAGGAGTATGAGCCAGGCCCCTTCCCTTCTGCACCTGCTGACCGCAAGGTGAACAGCGAGCTGGAAGAAACTTGTATTTTCCCTAAGTCGATTATCTGACGCACCCTGTTCTGACCCAAGAAGGCTCGGTCCACATTTCCCTTGGCCGTATTTCCTTGACCTTTCCTATGCTGGTACTACATGCCGTTTGTCCTCCTAGTTCCTGAGCCACAGCACTATATACCTAAAAGCAATGGTATGTGGTTTTATTTTGCTTGTTGTTGTCTGGAGTAGTGTGGATTGAACCCAGGGCCTCTGCACTGAGCTTTATCCCTAGGGCTGCACCTCTGACCTGAGTGTTTTTTGGAGAAAGGATCTTGCTAAATTACTAAATTGCACAGGCTGGTCTCAGACTTATGATCCTCTTGCCTCAGCCTCCCAGAATACTGGGATTACAGGTGTGCAACCATTATAACCATCTGGCCTTCTCCTTTTCAATTACCCTTTTACAGTTCAGTGACACCACTAAGTCTTTCTGAGACCAAAACTCTAAACTCACCCTGTGTCTTGGTTACTTTTCCTCTTGCTACTGAGACAAAATACCTGATACTCAAATTAAAGTGGGAAAAGTTCATTTAGCTCACAGTTTGTGGAGGTTTCAGTCCATATCAGCCGGCTTCAAAGCAGGGTGGCCGGCACCAGACAGCAACAGCAACAACAGCACAAGGTGGGGAAGAAGCCTCTTTTCCTCCCTCACACTGCAGCAGGCTGTCTGCCCTCAGGTGGACGCAGCACACACCATCTCTGGGCCCTCTCCTTACACAGCATGAGGATGTTTACAAAGTGAGGACCCTGGCCCCTTGCTGAGTCACTTAATTAAACTTCTAAACTTCTCAGGTTGACATAATGCAGCAACCACTACTCCTGTTTCCCACACTTCTGTACATTCACTCCGTATATTTCTGGGTTCAGCTAATGCCATACCCAGGCCAAGCTCACAAACATGACCCGGTTCACTCTGGAGTCCAAAACATTCATCATCTAGTAACTATGGTTAGAAACTGTTTCTCACTCTTTCTGCCTCCGATTTTTCTCAATTTGTATCTTGTATCATGAAGATTTGTGTTTAAAAGCAAATCCTACCCACTGCCCTGACGGGAATGGCCAAATCTAGTGTATAACAATGGGGGTTGTCCCTCAGTTAACTAGAAACACAATGCTTTTGACATTAAAAACCTTTGGAATGAAGCAAAGTGAACAAGTCAAAGCTATGCCCCAGGAATCCTAGGAAAGCAAAAGTCTTCAAGTAAACAAATTTCTTAATTGGGTGACTTACACAAATAGTTATCATTCTAGAATAGTGTTTTTAAATGAATATCAAAAAGTAATTTCCAAAATCTATTAATAATCATATGCTACTGACTGCATTGTAACTTGGTATACTATTCAGAAGGTAATAACCACACCTACCGGGGTCAAAATAATGGTAAAAATACGGAAGAAATTCAGCGAAGCAGAGAAACATGAAGTACAGAGATCTGCCTCAAAGCTAAATGGCTGGGGCTGGTCAATCACAGCACGGAAACAAACACGGCAGCTGTTCAGCACGACAGAAAAGGGTTATTTTTGACTCAGTGGCTGAATATCTTGACTGAGTATCTTGGGACAAAAATTCACAGTTCTCCAGATTTTGGAATTATCTGCATACCCTTCACAGGTTAAACATCCTTAACCTAAAAATCAGAAATCTGAAATGCTCAGGAATGTACTATGATGTTCAAAAAGTTTCGATTTTGGAGCATTTCAGATTTTGAATTTAGGTTGCTCAACCTGTGATGTGAAATATAAATAAAACAGGTACACGTACTGTATATTAATGAGTTAATCCAATGTTACCCTTCTATAGTACACTATCTTTTAACAATATCTTTCAAAATGCCTCACCACTAAATCTATAATTTTCAAAGATTCCTCTAATCCATTCGCCCAATTAAATTTTTCTTTATTTTACTTTTCTAGCTGAGTGTGGTGATGTTGTAGACAGTAATCCCAGCTACTGAGGAAGCTAAGACAGGATGATCACAAGTTCAAGGTCAGCCTCAACAATTTAATGACTCTGTCTCACAATTTAAAAAACAGCTGTGGGTGTAGCTCAGTGGTAGAATCCCGTTTTCAAACTCCAGCACCCCCACACCCCTCACACAAATATCCTATTTTACTTTCTATGCACTCAACTTTCTAATTACCTCATTCACTTACAGAACTGTCACTGCTTATCCTGGTTCTTTTCCAATTCTGAAGTCCTCTATAAAGGCTACAGAGTAAAAACCAAAGTCACGCTCTGGCCACCGCACTACCTGTCCCACATATCCTGGTTTGCTGTCACTGTAAAAATAACACAGCAGTAAATAGGCAGAAATTGAAGAAAACTGACAGACCTCACGCTTCAAAGTCACCGTGGAATTGTTTCTATCTATGCATACACAGGAAACAGAAATTTGAAGTAGTCAGTTACCACGTGTCTCTTACCTATTGCATGAATCTGACTCTGACGAGACTTCCTGAATATCAGTACAACTAGAAGAATCATCTGCTCTCTCGGGCTCCAGCTTCAATGCGGAGCCCAGTTGTGACGGGTGAAAGTGGTCTGCAGTGGGTGCCACACCTGAGAACTTCACTGTATCATCTTTCGGTAATAAACAAGAAACATTTAAAAAGATAAAAAAGAAATATTAATGATTACTATTAAAATCTACAATCTCTATATACCCATTATGTCTATGACACTTAACGTTGTTATTTGTACTTAGCAAAATAGAAATTTGTAAACCACTGATTCCAAAACTCAGTGACAGAGAACAAGAATCAGCACAAGAGTATTACTTAATAACATGGTCCACTTTGAGTTATTCCACAACTGATTAATTTCAAGATAAAATTCCCTTTAAAACCAGAAATGATAACCCTTACAATTCTAGAACAAGGCTATAAAAGACTCTACAGATTACTAAGGAATGCTTTTGTATTTCATAGATCAGAAAATACTGACAAATATAATGAAAAAAGAATAAATTTCCTTAGGGAGGCTGAAAGCACAAAAGTCACAAGTCCAAGTCCCTCCAGGACAATTAGCATGACTCTGTCTCCGGACAAATAAAGAAAAGGGCTTGGCAATCTCAGTGGTACAGCACGCACTGGGCTCAATCCCTAGTATGGCAGAAGATTAAAAACTTGAAAATTGAGGAACCGAGTAATTATTTCACAAGCAAGCACACACTAAATTTAATGTGTTTCCACACACACAAGCCAGAGCTTTCACGCACCCTGCACAGAGGTGTTTAGAGATAAATGACTTCTAATACAGGAGACTGTGCAGAACTTCACCTTTGCTGCTTTTCCTTTTGCTGAGACAAAATACATGACTCCCAGAGTTAGTGGAGCAAAGGGTTATTGAGCTCACGGTGCGCAGAGGTTTCAGCGGGCTCCGTGGCGGGGAGGCACATGGCAGAGCAGGCAGAGCCCGTGGCAGGCAGCAGGCGGCCAGCATGAAGCAGCAAGTGACAGCATGCCCTCCTTACGCCTTCCCCGCAGCCAGGCCTGACCCTAGCACCGCACCTGAATCAGTCCTGGCGTCACAGCCTTGATCCAGCACCACACACATAAGGTCCAGCCACCTCCAAAAAACCTCCACATATAATCACATGGGGTTCTTGGGGGACACCCGGACACAAGGCATAACAAACCCAAGAGTTTGTGGCACAAAAAATTTATGGGGAAAAAAAAAACATCAAACTGTTCAAAAAACAACGTTTTCCAAGCTCATATACTTCAATTTTCTTGAAATAATTGTAAGTTTTTGTTACACTGGGAAAAAGGCATATATCACAGGAGTACAAACTCTGATGCCACCTATTAATAAGCCATCATCACCAAAACAAAGCTCTGCCAGCCCCTTCCAAGGCTCCAGGGAAAAGATAAGAGAGCTAACAAGATGACCACCAAGAATCTCTAGGGTCTTCTCCTGTGATCACATTACCAGGGTCCCCACTGTAGGGTACCAATCCGCACAGACGCTCTATGTGCCCAAGGCAATTACATCACTACACTGGCCAGGAAGAGCTTTCCAGCTGAGAAACCAGGGAATCCAGCACGCTGGGAGGCTAAAGCACGAGGATCACAAGCTTAAGCCAGGGCCAGAAACTTGGTAGACCTTGCTTCAGAATGGGTACAGGCAGTGTAGCTCAGGGTGAAGGCCAAGGTTTCAATCCTGAAGATCACAACAAAACAACAGGGAACAGGACTTAAAGTAACCATTTTTTGTATGTGCATATTGTCTGTATTCTTTTCTTTTGCATTAGCTTCTAGAAGACAAGTTATTGTTGGTGACAAATATATGATCTAGTAATCTGTGGGTATTGAAAGCCAGTATCCTTCTTGTCTGCCCTCGGCCTGAGGATGCAGGCTCCCAAGGAGAGCATCAAGTGTGAGGCTGAAACGTCAGGCCTCCCCAGAGACACACGCCACAGACAGGGACAGGCCTTCCCACCAAATGTGCTCCTTGCTCACTTACAGAGACACTTCAGTGCCATCCCACAGAACAAGTGGAGCTGGCTGTACAAGAGTACACAAAATCCATCTTTCAGTGAGCTCACGTCTGCCTTCCTCTCTCCTACCCGCCATGCACGCGTCGCAATTTCACAGCAGCCTTCGCCTTCAAGCCCAGGGGACCAACACGTACGTGCACACAGACCGTACTGTACTGCTGAGAGTAAGCGACATTCAAGAGAGCTCTGCTAATCGGCGAGCAGGGCTCTGCTAGGAAACAGCAAGCCGGAGTTTCTTAACAGGCAGACTACTTCTCAGACTATCCTTTAAACAACTGCACGAACAAACTAAAGTGATTTAAAAACTGAGAAAACCTGAGGCAGGCAGTGTCCAAGTAAAGGTAGCAGGGATTCAAGAACAATAAGGAATGGACCTGAAACAGAAACATGTTTAGGAATACATCTAGCAAAGGAGACAGACCTGTCTACTGAAAGCTATTGAAGACAATCAAATGGAAAGACACCCCACATTCATGAATTGAAACAGTTAATACTGTAAGGTGTCTACTCACACCGGGGATGCGGTACATGTCTTTGATTGTAGCACTTGTGAGGCTGATGCAGGAGGATTAAGTCTGAGGCCTGCCTGGACTACACAGCGAAACACACACACACACACACGCACACGCACACGCACACGCACACGCACACACACGCGCGCGCTGCCCAAAACAACCTACAGATCTGACACAATCCAGTAGAAAAAATACAGTCTACCCTATGAAAATCACAAGAGGCCCCAAGCAGCCAAAGCAATATTGAAAAGAAGTAAAGTTGAAGAACTCAAATTTTCGCTCTGAAATTTAGTACCAAGCTACAGTAATTACAACGGTATAGTACAGGCACACAGACCACTGGAGTTTAGAAACAAATAAACTTTTACAAGGTGGGCTGATTTTTGGCAACACCAAGAATATTCAATGGGGAAAGAGTTTGGTAAATGGTTGTGAGAAAACCAGGTATTCACTTGCAAAAGAATCAGGTTAGCTGCACTCTGAGTAAGTATTTTGAAGAGAATGATATACAATGTATTAACTATTAGTACTACCTTATTTTGTTAGAATTTTTGTATTATTTCATTAAAAATAGGATCAAGTTGAATCCTCACATGTACCAGATATAAAGATTAACTCAAAATGGATCAAGACCTAAAGGTAAGGGCTAGAACTATAAAATTCTTAGAAAAAAACTTTACCAAAAAAAGTATAACATTTAACATTAAATTTGGCAATGATTTTGAGCGTACAACGCGAAAACTACAGGTGTTCAACAAAACTAAGCATTTTTGTGAAAGCACATTTGACATGGAAATGACACTATCAAGAAAGCAGAAAGACAGCATAGATAATGCTTATAAGTACTTGCAAACCACATATATGAGATTAATATTCAGAACTTCTAAACTTAATAATGATCAGAAAACACCCAATAAAATAACAACTAAAGGACCTGAATATACTTCAAAAAAGAAAAACAAATGGCTAAAAAGCACATGAAACAAAACCATGGTAGCACACCATTTCACACCAACTGGGATGACATCAACAACGACAACAATTTTAAAACAGGATGAGGATATGAAAAGGACAGAACACTGATGCCTTGCTGATGGGAATGCAGAGTCATGTGCTGAGTAAACAGCTGGGTGGAGCCACCACACACATAAGCCAGCACTTCCACCCCAAAGGAACTAAAGGCAGGGACTGGACAGTGGAGAACCTCTGCTCACTGCAATATAATTCACAATAACCAAAGACTGAAGTAACCCACGACAGGTAAGCGGGTAAACACAATGCAGTGTACGCACACTATAGAACATTATTCAGCCATTAACAAGGACCAGGAGGGCTGGGGAAGCACTTTGGTAGCACTTAGCTTGCTTAGCATGTAAGAGGCCCTGGCTCTGTTCAGGACAGCAATCAATCAACCAGTCAATCAATCAATCAATCAAACCGTGAAATTTTAATATGTGCTACAACATGGTGGGTACTGAAAACATTATGCTTAGGGAAATAAGCTAAGAATACACCCTGTAAAATTCCATTTAGATGAAGCACCAAAACAGGCAAATTCAGGGGTACAGAAAATAGAATAGAGACCACCAGGGCCGCGTGAGACAGAAGGGACAGTTACTACGTGTGAGCATGGCTTCTGCTGGGGATGTTAAAAAGGTTTTGAGTGGCAGACGGTGGCGAAAGTATTTAATGTGAAAGAGTTATACATGTGTGAACGATGAACAGAGATGCAATATTATGTTATGTGGATTTTACCACAATAAAGCAAACATATTAGAGAAATTTCTGGTGCACCTTTCCCCATTATGATTCCATTCTGTTCATGGGCCCAAACTCTTAACGGAAACATATTAATCCCGAGTTTTAAAACATCCAAAGTAAGTTATATTCCAAGCTCATCAGCTGCACTCTCAGCAGAACATTTCACCAGTAAACATCCAAAGTCAGACCTTCCCACGGTTCTGTAGCAGGAATAACTTTTATTCTTCGTCGTATGCCTTACCTCAGGCCATCCAGCAACACAGCGTACGTCTAGGAAGTACCCTCAGTCTCAAACAACTAGGAACTTACGATTTTCATTACCGGAAAGGAATACGGACTTTGGAGAGTGTTTCTTCAGGGCATGCTTTCAATGACCTTCCCAGAGGTATCACTCTAGCAACCACTATACAAACTAGATCTAAAAGTACTTTCTCCCACTTGAAAGACCTAATAATACCAAAGAAAATATCTTTTTTTCTTATTATTAAAAATAAATAATGACATTCACCATATTTCTGAATGCATTAATCTCTTACCCAAGCACACAGATAACATCTTTTCTGCAGATTCATCTTTTTTCATTAGTTTGTCTTTTAATACTCCACCAGTTTTCTTGTATCCTTTTTTGGCTTGATCCACCAGAAGCTGAAACTCATTCCGATGCTTTTTACCTGAAATTCAGAAGACCTTCTCAGCAAGGCAGTGAACAACTCCCACCGAGGGCAGGAGGATGAAGGGCTGTGCGGGCGAGCTGGGCGTGTGAGCTGGGCGTGCCACCTTGGGGTCACTGCACTGCCCATGAGAGCTGCCGAGCAGAGCACACAGGGCCAGCGCTGCAAAGTTTCCTCCTGATCCATCGGCCCTCAAACACACACAGAACCACAATTTGCTACTCCAGGTTCCTCCCCAAACCTCACACTCAGGAAGACCTTTGATAGAGCAAGAAAAATATTCCTTTAAATATACCCCAAAGTTACCATTCTAAATTCCAAGAAATGAGAGGTTACTACGACCAAAGGCTGGCAGACACAAACACGGGAGCCTCCAGGACAGTTCTGACAGCTTCAGCCCACTCTTGATGTGTTTCCCAACAGAAATCTTTTAGTCTAAGACCTCTGTCCATCAATCTCTTCTGCCTAAGGACACTTAACATCAATCACCCTTACTGCCACTTGGACATACCTGAGAATAATGTAAGTAACCCAACTTTAAGGCCATTATTAGGGCACGTGAATGCTATGCTGAAGAGAGTGCCCAGTCGCTGAGGGAACAAACCCAACTTTAAGGCCATTATTAGGGCACGTGAATGCTATGCTGAAGAGAGTGCCCAGTCGCTGAGGGAACAGACTTTAGGGCCTGGCCTTGATTCTGAACCACGGTTCAAACAGTAGAGGCTGCAGCTTCCATACCTGGCCACCTTAAACAAGTAGGTCCTGGCTCAAAATAATAGTGAAACGCTTGCAAAAATGTTAGAAGGAATCTGCACTACACGTGGCTACCACAAAGTTCTAAGATGGCTCTCACACACCAGCCAGTGACACACTTTCTGTCACTTGGCTCCTTCCGTTTGCCTTGCAGCTCAGCATCAAGGTGTAAGCGTGTACTGTATGAAGGAAGTTTGTGTTTCAAGTGAAAATGTCAGAGCCCAGAGCTCCCCTTCCAGGGTACCTGTCGTTCACTGACAGCAATGGGAAAAACTGTCGATAACACAAACCCCGTCGGGTGGAGTCTGACTCAATGCCTTGCCCCACATGGATGAGGACAGTTTTCCTCCATTTGCACATTCACTTCAATATTCCTCATACATAAACGTAACTCTTCACTGGATTCTCCTCTAATGTCTTCTCAGTTCCCTAACAATGAGTTTTTAAATTTTTTCTAGTAAAAATAAGTGTCCATTTTATATCCAGGAAAGTAATGATTTTACTTGTTTTTGAAAATTATTCTTCCATTTGGGAAAACCGTACTAAATTTAAAAATTCACAACAAAGAAGACAGAAGTTTGCTTCTGGTATCTAGACATTGATACGTACACCAAAGACATTAAGGAAAGACAATTCTAGTTCCCACACGGTGATAGCTCAGTTCACAAACCTCAGTCTTCCTGTGATCCTGGTCACAAACCAAACTGGACCAGAAATGAATTAAATTTCTCTATAAGGTCAGCACCAAACTTAACTGTCGAATTTGATTTGGTTCTCATCCAAACCAGTTTGCAACCAGAATCATGAACCAAGGTATCACTTATTGATGTATTGATGTGCATGAAAACTCCCAGTAATGCAATAAATAAGACTAGGAAATACCATTACCATTACGACAGTGCATTACAAACAGCAAAGTTAAATATTATTTTATGAGACTTCTTTCAATAATGTGTGTTTAATAGTAATCACACACAAGTATCTGGTCATATTTATAAAAAATCGTATTTTTGCTGTGGCTTGCAATTTAAAACTTCTTAAAGTTACTGAATATCAGTTAAAACACAGGACGTGCGGTGAGCTCCAGGCCTTGGTCTGAGTGAATCTTTTAATAGTCAGTGTGCAGACATTGATTTATATATTTGTGTACAAGTTCTTATACATTTGTATATTTCGTGTTAAAACTGTTTCTCTAGTAAAACTGATACAGATTGGAAGCTGTGCGTGGGGAACTCAAGGTAATACAGGAATGTTTTTTGTACTTTCTGCTTAGTTTTTATGTAAAATCTCTTTAAAATGAAGTGTATTTCATAAGATCTCTTTTTTTAAAAAACCTTTTTTATTAGAAAAAAATTACAGTAGCCTTTAGTCCTAAGAGTGTCAGTAAACAGCCCATTGGAAAAATCTAACCCAGGACCTATTTGTTACGGCCTTCCAGTTAAGAATGACTTTTACATTTTAAACATAATGTAGAAGGGAACACAAGTAGCCTGAACAAAGCTTAAGCTGCATATTAACTGGCTCTAAAGTAATTCAGTTCTGTTACTCTTTGGAGAGCCCTTATTTTATGAAGTGTTTGTACTCTGGCTGGTGGTAATTTCACAGTGTTCCATGTCCTGTGTAAACTCTGGAAACTGTTCTGCCTAATCTTTTCAAGAGCCTCTTTTCCTGATCTCAAGCAGTTATCTTTCCTTCTTATGCAGACTGCCAGACAGTCAGACGCACAGGGCTCCCTCTACAGACCTCCGGGCTACCTTCACTGCAGAGACCCTCTTCCTGGTACCCCTCGCATGAATTCTTGATACCACGGCAACCAAGAAGTCTAATTTCCATGTCAACTCAGGCACATTATCAGACTGTTTGGGATTCCCCATCATGAGTCTGAAAACTGCTGCTGAAATCTTAGAGTTTATCATCTTTTTTTTCCCTTTCTCTCAAGGATCATAGTCTTGTGCTGTTTTCTATGTCTAAATAACCATTATTCTAAACACTTCATGTGGTCTTCATTTTTTTTAAAGAGGAAATTAAATAGTCTCGGTTATTCCATCTGGGTTAAGAGTAGGTAAAAATCTGTACTTCTTTTTGTTTTTTAGACGGAGAAACAATTTTTATGAAGATATTATTTATTTCTGAGTTAACCTTTTAAGGTTTCTCGGCTTTAACTTCTTCTCTGGCCCACAGGTTATTTGGGAACATGTGACTTAATTTCCAAGTACTTGGTGATGTCCCACAGCTCTGCTGGCCTCTTACCTTCATTGCGCCGTGGCCACAGACCACAGTGTGCGCGCTCCAAGAGCACTCAAGGTGAACACTGTGCAGGTCCTGGAGTTCCCTGAGCTGTTCCAGCCGCTCCAGTTCTGTGTCTTGCAAACCGGGGCTCCTTGGGTCTCTCTGGTCTCTTACCTGTTCTCCCAAAGCCAGAGTCCCCAGACTCTGCCTAGAACCCCCCACCAGCATTAGAGACAAAAACTCTGCAGTCGTCTCTCAGGGATGCCTGTCTCCTTCTGCCCAATGGCCAGCACCTTCAAAATTGTATTTTTAATTGTCTCTCCATTTATTCTCTTGTTTCAGACACAAGGTAAATGGGGTTCTAGTTACCACATCTTGGTTAGAAATTTTAACTGATCATGTGATACATATCAGTAGATAAGACCAAAACAAACAAAAGCTTTCGGCGCCCTTGATAATTTTCCAGAATATAAAGAGCACCCTGAGGACAGCCGAGCTCCAGGCTGGCAGGCAGGCTCAGGGGCCTCGTTCTGCTCCCATCAGCACTCTTCTCCCAGGTAACCTCACCTCCACTTACAGCTTAAATACTACATGGAACGCAACATGTTTTTCTTTAGTTAGGGAGATTCAAGTATTCATCTCTCACAGTCTTTTTCATTTGGCTGTCCAATAGGGAACCAAACTGAAATGTAAGCAAAACAAAACCAAAAGAAGCCTAAAACACATGAAAGTAGACAGAACCCAAAACCTGACAGGCAGAACAAATTCTGCTTCCCTTCATCCTCCACAATGCCCGCGCGCCTGACGTCAGTCAATGTGCTACCATTTTTCCCACTTCTTAAATGAAAAATGTAGGAGTCACTTGATTCTCCTTTTAGCTGTCCCTGATACTAACCACACTGTGTTAGGAAGCACTGCGGGTTTGTGTTTGAAAGCTGGCTCTGAAGTGCCCATTTTACTTCCGTAGTGCTGTCCTTTTAGACCAGGCCGTGTGCTGGGCCTACGTTAGCACACAGGTCTCGCTCCCCGCCCTGTGCTCGTGTGCCTTCGCAGTGCTGAGCACTGCGCTAACTGCCACCTTCCTGCCTAGTTACTGCCTGTTCCTGGGGCACGGAGGCTCCACTCAGCAAAACTCCTTGCTTAATCTTACATTCCCTACGCCTGAACAGTAAGAGCAGTAATTTGTGATCAATAAAACATTTCCTGACTAACAAGCCTCAAGGCTGGTATTCTTACAATTTCTTGCCCCTTGTAATTTATTTTCTACTCAAAAGCTACCGTTAACTTTAGTCATACTGACTCCTTTCTGCTCTCCCCAGAGAGAGGAAAACTCTTCTCTGGTCTAAAATACTCTTACTCTCTACCTCTCTGAATAATCTCTTCAAATGTGAATTCCTCAAGAAAAGCCTTCTGCCTGGCTGTCTTATCAGATGCATCCCATAATTTCTATCAGATCACCCTATTTTATCTTCTTCATTCCATTATCAGCTGCTTCCTTATCTGTTCCTAGAAACTAAGCTCCACAGTGAGCAGACCTTGTATAGTTTGTTCTCCGCTACATACTCAGTGTCTAAAATATCACCGGGCACACAGTAGGTGTTCAATGAAGATTTCCCGAATTAATAGGTGACCTCTGGTAAAAAGAACTTTCTGGGCTTAGGATCGAGCCCTTGCCTGGCATGTGAGGCTCTGAGTTCACTCTGCTGCACCACCAAAAGAAAGCAGAGAGGAGGAGGAGAGGGGAGGGGAGAGGGAAAAGGCGTTTCCACCTAACAAGGTTAATCCAGTTCTACCAGTAAAAGTTCAGGAAAGACCTAGAATGTTCACTGGAGTTTTTTGTCACAGAGTATAAAATTCTTTTACCATGAGAATCCCCCAAACCTGTATCTGTCAGGGCCGTAAGGCAGGTTGAGTAACTGCCACAGAGTAAGATGCTGTGAACAAAACCTAGCCACAGCAGCTGCTTTCAGAAATCCACATGTAGCTCAATAAATGCATTTTGATTCAATCTCTAGATC